AATTTAGAAACTGAGGAGTCGGAGTCGGAGCATTTATCTACCGACTCCACAGCCCTGGTCGACGTCATTAACTATGTCGACTAATCGCAGCAGCCCTAAAGCTAACTCCTAGTATCTAGGGCATTAAGTATAAGGGTCAAGTATGGCCTGATTCCTGTTTACCAGTCGAAAAGCGTACCAAACAGGACTTACTAGTGCAATCTTTACTTTGCGAGTGCAATCACCTTTGTGATACACACAGTCAAGAGTGCAATGCAGTATTTGTAAACTTTTAAACCAGTTTTTCAGCAAAAAAGTAAATCCTGCCTTTCCTGTCAAACATAGCCAGAGGTATTGAGTATCATCAAAATGTTTACATAAAATCTTATTTTAGTGAGGGAAATGGTACTGCATGCGCAGGATGCAAAAAAAATCACCAAATGCTTCAAGAATTTAATTTCTCCACTAGTTAACTGATAATTAATTGATCCCTGTGGAGAAATTCTCTTAATGCCTCCCCCGCCTTGCTCTCTGTAGGTGAGAGCAGGTTAGCTACAAAGGGCAGCGCCCATGGAGCTGGGGGTTATGGGCCCTGTTTGAGGATCTATAGTGAGCTACAAAGGGCGGCCACCCGCGGCAGCACCCAGGGTGATGGGGGTTATGGGCCTTGTTTGAGGATCTACAGTGAGCTACAAAGGGCGGCCACCCGCGGCAGCACCCAGGGTGATGGGGGTTATGGGCCTTGTTTGAGGACCTACAGACGTGCTGAGGCCGGGCTCGAACCAGCAACCTTCTGATCACAGGAAAGGAGGCTTAGCCCACTGCCTCACAAGACAGCACAGAATGTAACTAACCCCTTTGTTGTATTTTTACTAAAAAATAATATTTAATGCAGTCGAGTTAAAATGCTCAACAAAAATAAAGTGGGTAAACAACTAAGCATGTTTTAAGGTGCCCAGCCAAATTAAATCAATACATTGACCACCATTTTAATTACTTTGAACACAGTGACCTGAGAACACACATGACCTATAAGACAGAACTGACTGAGGCAGGCTACTGAATTCTGTTAAATCCATTCTGTTTAAGCAATCTGACAAAAAGCAAAAATCTTAAAATGACCAAATACTGAGAATGATTTTTTTTTTGTTCCCATATTTACATCGCACCGGCACGACTTCCGAATTCATATTAGAAACTAACGGATTCGCCCGCTCCATTATGACAACATTAGCAACTAATACGAAGCAGACGTGAACGAATCGGTGTGAATTCGGCGCAAAGCGGAGTTCGGGCAAAAGCGAGCAGCGCCTTTTAAAACAGCATATGCATTTGGCCAATATGAATCGTTTCGTTTTAGTTTTGTCTTACAGAAACACCGGAAGGAAAGGCCCCTTTATATGCAACACACATTGTACAAACACACATACGAGGTATGGTGAATCTGTTGCTTTTTTGATGTTTCATAAAATTTCCGTGTAGTAGTGTCAGCTTTCAGAGTTTCCGTTTGGCGATTTTCTGTTTCGTTCTTTTTACCTAAAATAAACCTAGACAAGTTTGGAATAGCGCGCATAGATGCCGATAGGCAGAATATAAACTTTCAATATGATCGAGATTCAAACAAATACTTTAAATGTGAAATATTGCAAAACATTGACATTGAAATATTATAAAACATGGCATAATAAATAAATAAAAAAAGGATGATTATGCGTTTAATTGTTAAACATTTTGTAGACTTACCAGTTATTGCTATTCTTACGTCTTGTTTAAGCACATTACCCCCGATTCACTAGCGTCGCCCGCTGTTAGTTCCCCTATTTCTGTCTCCACCCATTGTACTTCCAAGAAGAAAGTGTGCGCGAGTTTCGCAATCAGTAGCAGCTATAGGGCAGTTACACCGGATCATTAATTTTTTTCAAGGTTTTTAAATGGAAGATGGTTGCATTTTTCTCAATCCTGTTACCAATCCAGTTACTCAAGGAACTGTTTAAATATCATTTGAAAATCACATCAACTAGTTCATAGTTGTGTCTCCCTCAACAAAGTGTGTATTTTAAAGAAATGATTGGTTACATCATTGACCATCATGTCATCAAACCTAATAGTAGGGTAACATTGACTACATTCAAGTAACTTACCAAAATGTATTATTAAACAAATAAATAAAATAAAATAGCGTAATTCAACGGTTTCATACATGTAAATGTGCATGCATGTGTGTGCAAACTAGTCTTGAATTGAAAACCCCACTTCAGTCAGCTGAGCGAAGTTGTCGGCTCTGCTTCTGTTTCCTCTTCTTACCTACAAGAGAATCGTAGTGAATCACTCATAGACACATACATACACAGATGCAGGAATCGAACTCCAAATCGAATTTTATTTGTCATGTACACAGTTATACTCAGTATAATTCAGTGTAGTGAAATACTTGGTGATCTCTTACTCCAAGACTATTTAAATGACTAGAAGCGTGACGCTACCTTATTACCCGCAATAAATTTGGGGAAAAAAGCTTTATTTCATATAATAATATTAGGAAGAGAATATGCTATATTCTGGGTGTGACAGACTGGGGTTTGTATTCTTGATTCATTTGAAGCTGTACTTGAAGTCAGCCGGTACTCACTGGTTTGCAGTACTGGCTCCAGTTTGTTTTTCTCTTCTGAGTACCGTGAATGTTTCTTATGTACCGGCACACGGCCAGGGGTTGGGGGAATATTTTCTTGGCATACTTTGGGCCTATTGATACCAATTGATCATTGCTTGAGTGCCAAAGCCTACTTGAGTTCTTGGTGACCATGTGCATCCCTTCATGGCCACGTGGGTAAACACCCATGGGACCCCTCGTAATGACCAGAGTGACTTCGGGGTTCAGAAGCTTGTCTGAGGACGCTTTCATACACCCAGCCTGCCTGGGGGAGTACATTTGTAATATGTGTGATCCTCTATTGCCCTGTGCAGAGAATCCTTGTCTGTGAAACAAGTCTAACCCTACTATGTTGTCTCCATGGTGGGTGATGTAGAATGGAAATGAGGCAATTGCTGAGGTGCTGAATTGCAATGAAAGTCGTAGGAGGCCAATAAAGTCAATCTTACTCCAGCTATAACCACAGAGTGTGACTACTAAAGGCTGTAATGTTTGTATGTGGCACTATTCAGCAAAGATATCTTGGCTCCAGTATCAAGCAGTAGCAGTACACAGACTTCCAGATAGATGGGGCATTTAGAGAAGCTGTTAATGGGGGGGCACTGCATGAATGACTGCACATGCAGCTGATGATTGGAAACTATGATATGCATTAGCAGGTAAGGAACAACACTATTTGAGTTGTGATTTGGCTCCTCACATTTCCTCCATATCTGACCTTTATCTGGGCATCTGTAGCTATTATCATGATGTGCAGAACGTCAGTGGTGGTTTTATTTGGCTGTGTAACTTGTATGTCAGCAGTTTGACCTTGGGCCTATTAACTGCTGCACTGGTTTGTCTCTCTGATTAGCAACTGATCCGACATCCTTCTTCCGCTAGGAACTAAGGACGCCAATTCATGCGTCACTTTACCTCATTCCATCATCGCCCACACACAGGGTGAATGACGTAAATTACACCATCAGAGGGTGTCCACAGTACAATGGCAGCCCTAATTTTGTACATCGGTGTGTATCCACTGCACATGTGCAAGTAAACTGACTGGGTGTTTCCAGTGACTGACAGAAGATGAGTAACTGTGTGAGAATGTAGAGGCACCTTTACATATATAACTCATCATAGGAGGAGTACATATTTCAGTACACAGACTTGTAGAACAAAAGCAACTAAACACTGGGCAAAGAATTGGGATTGAAATACATTTGATATTTGATATAGTCCTGCACTGCAGGAACACTGCATATACTACATACTGTATACTTTGTATTGTAGCTATCACACTGCTTTCAGTATTCTTATAGCTGAGCTGACCACCGCATATTTCACTGCAGGTTATAGTTGGACTGTATACCTTGCATGTCACAAATAAGACTCTTGAATCCATTTGATGCACTTCAGTGTTTTTGTACATTTATATATAATGTTTATTTGTTCTTGTTCATTTTGTCATATCACAGCTGTTTAACAGTGACACTTACGCTTGGCCAGTGTCTCATTTGCCATCGTTGTATGCAAGTACCGACCATGGCTATCGTCATCAGCAGAGAAATGTAGTGTGTACGCAAGAGTCCGTGTGTGTGTGTGCTGTAACAGCATGCAAAAAAGTTTCACTTCAGATTCATTTAAAGTGGACCATTTGCATTACATATCCAAAACACTCCACGTCTCCCAAAGCCTTCCTTAATCCTATTAGACAAAGCTTAGTTCCTTATCTTCTGCCTGCTCGGAATCTGTGACTCCCCTTCACCATTTTCCTCTTTGTACCAATGTTTCTCACCACCTGAAAAAAATGCATTCTGATTATTGTAGTTATGTTAATTCTCTCTCGCGAGGATTAAATTGGTTCATTCGGGTTCAGCTGCATACTTGGAGGCTGCTTTAAATTCCTTCCTCCCTATTTTGAAGGATTCAGGCTTTTCTTGTTCAAGACAATGAAGACCTGATACAAGAATCCAAAACAGACTGACAAACGAAACTCGATATGTTGGTTGCTGGGTCAAATGACTCATGGGATCAGTAGTTTTAAGTTCACTTTAAAGTACCTGGATACAAATGTCCCCCCCCCCCCTCATTATAAAATACAAACCAATTACATCAATAAAATCACAATATGCCTTTAATTATAGTGAATAGGATATGGAAGCAGTCATGATATCAGAGGTTCAACACAGAAAATAATTCTCTCTTCATAGCAATGCAGATCGCACTTCCCGTCCGTCTTTACAGTGCAGAGAAATTTCCAAGCTTTCACCTTGTGGCCGCTCCCTCACCTTCACGCTACAGAGGTGTGAGGAGGCCGGTCGGTCGCATCCAGATCCTCCGCTTGGGGTCGAAAGCAAATGCTGAGCTTGTGCTGTAAGCGAGCTCTGAGATTCAGCCCCTGCTGCACATTAATGTACGTGTACTCCTGTGCCTTCAGTTTGGCGTAGTAATCGGAGAATTTGTTAAACAGGATTGAGATGGGCATGCCGTTCAGGATTATACCAAAGGAGACGCAGCCAAATGCCACCAGTCGACCCAGGAAGGATACAGGCACCACGTCACCATAGCCTACTGTGGAGATACTTACCTATAGGGACAGGAACAAAACAGCCATTGTCGCAATAAAACTTTAGTTATGGTACGAGTCAGAAAAAAGGCATTTTTGTTGTGAATAAACTGGCTCGTCAGTGCACAGTTTAATCACTAATGCCTCCTTTTCATTTCTGAAAATTACCTTCACTACTTCAGTCATTATCAGTCATTTAACTTAGTTTCTCTAACTCTCAAATATTGTAAAAATGTGCCGGATACTTCGCTCCAAATGGGATGGCACCATAACGTTAACATGGTATGAAAAAGGCTCTGGATAGTAGATATTAGTGAGGGAGGCGTTTACTCACTGCAGCCCACCACCAGGCGTCAGGGATGCTGCTGAACGGGGTCCCAGGGACATCATGTTCCACAGAGTGCAAGAGCGCGGAGAAGGTGAAGACGCCCATGGCGATGAAGAGGAAGAGGCAGCAGACCTGCTGCTTGCACTGCCGGACGGTGAACCCAAACGCCCGCATGCCAGTGGAATGTCGCGCCAGCTTGAGGATACGGAAGATGCGCATGAGTTTCACCACCTTCAACACTTTGCTGACCTTGCTGACTCGTGCCATGGTTTGCAGGTCTTCTTGAACACTCAGATCTTCTTGACTGGCAAAGGCCTCGAAGATCAGCTGGATGAAGTAGGGCATGACTGCCACCAGGTCAACAAAGTTGAGTGCACTTTTCAGGAAGTGCTTAATATCGCAAGTTGTAAGAAGTCTTAAGAAATACTCAAAGGTAAAGAAAATAATAGATACAATCTCTATACACTCCATATAAGTCTTCCCGTAAACTTTGGAAGTTTTTAGTTCTGTAACAGTGTTGAGTGTCATAGCCACAATAGAGATTATCACAAATACGCTAGAAAATACTGCAAAGGTTTTTGCAGCCATTGAAGAGTAAGGGTTCTCCATCAAGTCCCACAGGGCCTTGCGGAGACCACCGAGGAACATACCATCAAAGCCCTCCTCATCCTGCTTGGGCTGTATTTCCTCTATGAGCTCCCTTTCAACTTTAAGATAGTCCTTAATGTCATCCACCTTTTCCTCAAAAAGAATGCGGCAACAGCACTGTGTCTCCTTCATGCTCAGTCCCCAGTATGTCATTTCCTCTTCAAAGTTAATGGGGCAGAGCTCTCTCATCACCCACAGAATGTCATTCCGGTAGAAATGGAAGATGTAGTGAAAGAATGCAGGATCACGGTCAAAGAAGAACTCATTAGTGAGCACCGAATAGTCATCACAGAGTGCGAGTTGCTTGACTCTGTCAGTGCACAGGGCCAGTGAGCCGATGCGAGACTGGGGGTATTGGAGAGCCGCGCTCTTCGCAATACGGAATACTTTCCCGCCAACATTAATGTTCATGATGTTTGATGGCCTCACACGCTCTGCCTTTTCAGGCCCTTCACTCTTACCTTGAGGTTCTGGGCTATCCAAATTCTCCATAGAATTCCATGGCTTCACAGAACTGTCCTGAGAGAAAGGAAAGGGACTTTCTTCACCTCCAGAGCTTCGGGCAAAGCCATCACTCAGCCTGGCAAACAATGTGGAGCGTCTCTTCTTCAGCTTCTTTTTGAGTCCACTCTGAGATAGATCCATAACAACGATTCCAGAGAGAAGGCAAGGGGGAGGGAGGACTAGAAGTTGCACAAAAGAAGATTTGTTGATTCTATTCCGTCTCCCATGGCAAGTCAAGAATAAATTGGCATTGTTTGTACCCAATGCCCAATGTTGTGCCTGAAATGAATCTCATCCATCCAGAGAGCTGCAGAAAATGGGGATGTCACGCCTATTCAGTCCAGGACAAGATTGGGATGGGAAGCAGTCTTAGTGCCTCAGAGTCAAGGACACTATGGATTCTTTTTTGGCCTGGAGGTTTAATCCCATTGCTGTTCTTTTGGTTTCTTAAGCATGGCTATAAATACAGTCAGGATTAATGCAAAGTTGATTTAAGGATTTAACAGAGAGATAGCAAAGGTAGAGTAACTCTTACCACATTCGATGTGGTTTTTACAGGCACATTTGCATGAACTGCTCACAGAATCTTATTTTCAGTCACAAACGATCCATTTCAACATGTTGCAAACCTAATCAGATTTTATGCTTCAATACACAACTGCAATGCTGCTAAATAATGAAAGCTTTTATGGACTGTAGGAGTGTTTTTCCTCATTTGGTATAGTGATACCAGACCCTAGTGCTTGGGGGTGGGTCTGGTGCAGGTCACGCAACAGGCATACAGAATGCCATACGGAATGCCACAAGCAGCTAAAATACTCAGTTACTGCTTGAGCAAAAATACTGAGGGGTGGAGCAAATGGACGCACTGCAGCTATAAGCCAGGCTTTGGCCACCTTCTTGAAGTGTCATGTGATACAGGAGGAACCCGTAATATTACACTGGAATAAAGACTTTATCCAATTAAGAACATTTATTGAACGGAGACAAAAAAAAAAAAAAATTAAAAGAATTTAACCGTTCATCAGTATCACTGCACTACCTCAAATGTGCAGGATTCTTGACTGCATTCCTTCAGCAGTTAAAAGTAAAAAAAAAAAAAAAAAAAGACATTTTCATAATTGTTTGTTTTTTTCCCCATTAGTTGTTCAAACTTACTGCTTATCAACTGGAATACATATACAGAATAAACGGAAAGTTATTCATTATTCCTTAAATTCAGAAAAAGATACACATTTTAAATAAATACCCCAAATGAAACAAACAGTCTAGGTCAGGAGTGGAGTGAACCTTGTGCCTAAATGAAGCTCTTAACACTTCCAAAAAGCCACAGGATTCTGACTGAAGGACCAGAGTCAACCATGGCATTCTACAGCTACAAAATTTCACTGGATCTGCTTTTCTGTGTTCCCCTAAACTGAGCTCCTGTTGCCCCCTTGTGGCTTTTCCTAGGTTGCACATGCTCATGTTGCCCTTAGCCGCCTCATGAGAAATGCGGAGTTGCATATGTGGCTCAACCACAAACCACAGTCAGTCAATTGTCGGCGTGTATCTTTACAGTAGCACAATAAAAATTTAAACAACCATTATGTTGCAAGTGCTAATACATAACCCTATCACCGGCCTCAGGACAACACACAATGGATGAGGGATCCATTGTTACGGCACGTAACAATGGACGATAAGAGGAGCATCAGACGGCAGCTGGATCAAATGGACATATGGCACCGTTCTTCCACCTTTAGCTGGGCATCCTGAAGAAACATAAAAGATGCTGCTTTTAGTGTTTCAGAAAGTCACAAAGCATCACTCTGCAACAAGAAGCCTGAAAGCATGCGGCAGGATAAAGATCACTGCTATACTGAACTTACAGACCACATGGTGTACTGACCTTGAAGGAATACATATCAGGGACCAGAACTGGCACAAGAGGATCCTGGGATTCTTTCAGCGAGATGGTGGGGTGCAGAAGGCGACTCCTGGGGCAGCTGAACTCTGTGTTCCACCACCAGAGCACCAATACGGCCAGGAGCACGCTCAGCAATACTGCACAGGCGGGAGAGAGAGGCGGCCAGGAGCACGCTCGGCAATACTGCACAGGCGGGAGAGCGAGGCGGCCAGGAGCACGCTCGGCAATACTGCACAGGCGGGAGAGCGAGTCACTGTCTCTGGAGCACATGGGCTTAGGGGCCTCGAGAGAGAAACCCTCTGGCAACCAGGCGTTTGAAACAAAAGACCCTCTGATGACCACAGTGCCCCAACCTGCACTGTGCATCCTATTCTAACCCTGGTGCACAACGGATGTCGAACTTGCATCAGTGCAATCTAGCGCCCCCAAGTGGTATGAGGACATACTGCAGAGGTACTCAATGCTCAACACACCGGTTTGCAGCAGCTGACGGTGCCTGGACACCTCTGTGGGACTCAGACTGACACAGAATGAGTGTCCATTTAAACGCCAATGAACGACTAACCCAGACATGTAGTGGCGGCATGTCTAAAATGATAGTGAGGGATTAAAGCAAAAGAGAAAAGGACCGGGGGGCCGTAAAATTAACACTCACCAATTAAAGAAAGAATCTCTGCGAAGGTGGCATCATAAAGAACGGCAGACTTCTTATGTCCTGAAAACAAAAGTAACGCAAATTTACCCAATAAGTACTCAAATTTCAGGGGGGGGGGGGGTCACATTCATAACAGTGAATGAAATAATAAAATATAATTTGTTTGATTCCAAAAATGACTATTTCAACTCATTCATTAAACTGAGTATTGCAATGAAGTTATAAAATTTATATCATGTGCATTTTATAACTGGGTACAACTTTGCTGTCTGGCAGCTTCATTTAAGTATTTAATCAAATTCTTAAAATTAAAAAAAATTAAAAATCTGAGAACATCCTGGATACCAGATCATCAGTCATACACTCAGCAACTGAGGTGCCAGTCACAAAAAGTAGATGTTTTGATTTCCTACAAAACAAACATGTAAACACAGCGAGAGGTGGCCAGTATTTGGACCTAAAAGCTCAGGATAATATGCAAAAATGCTGCATGAAGTCAGTGTACAGCCCCTTGGATAAATCCATTTTGTTTACACCAAGATCCACATTCTTAGCGTTCATCCAAAATATTCCAAGAGGAGCTATGAAGCTGGGCCAGAAGATACTGTGAGGTTTAAGATGATAAACTGCATTGATCTCAGGGGGAAATTCATTAAGGGCACTTTACCACTGCATCAGGTACCATGCTTGTGTTACAGTGTTGGGTCGCTCTCGTCTTAATGAAGCCTTTTCATACGTCACATACTAACCTTCAGCAACGTCGTCTCCAGGTACCAAGCAGAAGAAGTGGGGGGGGTTGGTGTCAAAGAGCCGGGGGACACACTGAAAGGGGCAGACCTTCCCAGGATGGCCGCAAACACCAGCACCTGCAATGCAGGCCAAGGAACATTCTAGGGCTGCTACTATCGACTACATTTCTATGGATTAATCTATCGACCATTTTACCATCAGATCAATTAATCTAAACGATTTTCTTCCAGGAAAAAAAAAATTAATTTTGCCAAACTTATTGCAGGGCTTTAGATAATGGATGCTGGCTTTTCAGCACTATACAGACATTACTTTTGCCCACAATTTGAAAGCAAGTTAGTAGTATACCTAAAATACTACTGAGATGCATATTGTGATGCCCAAAAGTTAGTAATCTGTATAAAATCGGTGTATCCTTTTGTTTATTAAATTCGGTTAGCAGAGCATGCGGCATGTGACTCTTGGTAAATCATGAGCATTTATAAATCAGCAACCACAACATCTTTAAGAGGGAAAATATTGTGGATAAACAAGGCAAAGATGGGGGTGTGGCACTGCTTTCTGCTGATTAAAGTCAGACACTTTTTGGTAAATATACTTGTTAAATTTTTTTTGTGTGTTTCAGTTTACAACAACAACACTGGTCCCAACGCGCAGGAACACACACTGGCACCATCAATCCATGTAGAATAAGCCCAGATTTTAGCCTAAACATTTTCTCAGACACTAATGAGATTCTAAGGTAGCAAGCATAGAAAAAAATAATCGATTTTAAATACTCATGTAAACGCATTTTCAGTGTCGACGTCATCGACTAATCGTGGCAGTTCTAGTATATTCAAGAACCAACATCAACACGAAGCTGTTGCAGCTAAGCTCTGTGTAACTGCGGTGAGTCACCTGACGCAGCCTCTGGCTGAAGCAGCGGGTGAACCGCGACCAGCCCCCCCAGGGAGCGGATGTCAGACAAAAGGACTTTGAAGGAGCTGCCATTGTGCTTGTCTGCGCTGCACAGTGTGCGGGTTTCCTGATCGCCCCAGAACACCTTCCCCTGCAACGCAGTGCACAAAAACCGGAAAGGAGCCGCACACCTTCAGTCACCCTCACGCAGCAAAGACGCAGAGGCCATTTGCTCAATATTTCTCCAAACTCCAATTCCTATTTTTGGCCAGTTGCAGACACAGCGGTACCTCAAATACTGCAAGTGCAAAAGGCCTGTCCAGGTGTCCGTTTGATTCCAGTACGGTCTTGCGATGTTTCCCATCAAATCCAACACGCGAGATGGTGCGCAGCGTAGAGTCTGCCCAGTACAGCAGACGGCGAGGAGTGTCTGGAAAACAGAGTGTGAAATGACACCAAGACCTTTTCACAAGTGGATACATCAAAAAGGCTTCAGCTGTGTCACTCAGCGACTGGTTAATTTTTGCACAATTTGCAAGATTTAACAGAATGGCCCAAAGGAGGTTCTCTGCTAGACTGACATCGTGGGAGTTGATCACCTTTGCAATTCCAGAACTCACCCAGAGAGATCGCAATAGGGTTGTGCAGTCCTGAGCCAACAACTGTCAGTCTGTCCTCTCCATCCATACCAGCCCGTTCAATCCTGGCAAAGCCTCCAGTTTCTGCCCAGAACAGGAGACTGGAGATTTCCCAGTACTGAGTGTGTATATTTTATATTGCATGTTATTACTCAGTTTTCTGTTACTGTTATGACAATTTATTGCTCTATCGTTATATGTTGCTTAATTCTGTATGGACATGTACAAGCAAATACAGGTATCCATCCACCAGGGTCCTATTCGGTATGGAATGTGCGACGTCCATAATAATTAATATACAGTGCTGGAGACGCCCAAAAGTGGACATTGCAGGACATTAGCGGGCGCATCGCTAAGATAAGCACATACAGGAGAATGGGCACCACTGGCAGCCATATAATGAGCCACTGGAACACTGTATGCACTGGAACACTGTATGCATACAGTAATGTGCAGGTGACGACAGTCACAATAGTTACATATGATGTATACAGTTCCTGTACTGCGCCCTTAGGGCTGCTGCTGCTGGAGTACCGTGTATATCGTACTGTACTCAATGTCATGTCTATCCTCTAGAACTATCTAGATACGCCCATCCGGTGGTCCCAGTGCCAAATGCAGACACAAGTCTACGGATCCCTGTATTTCATTGTACAAGTGACAAGGCCTTTCAATCCTTCATAGTCAAGTACTTAAAAATACCAAAATGCAGACAAATGCTCTGTATCCCGGTTGTACTTAAGGTAACTTACCCCAACAAAGGCTCCACAGCAATCCCTGTTGGGGTGGACAGTCCACCAATCAGAAGCCGTCGTCGGTCTCCATTTAGTGGGGCCACATTGACCGAACCCACAAGGGCATCGGTCCAATACAGAAGGGAATGCAGCCAGTCAACAGCCAGCCCCATGACCTCCCCAAGGTCAGACAGCACAAGGTGCGGCTTCCCGGAGGATTCGTCCAGTGAAATCCTGGAAGGAACAATTAGTCACTGGTACTGTATGTGTATATATATATATATATATATATATATAAAGCCATTCTGGGTAAAATTCCTTCTTATTTATCATCATTCTTGATCTGGAAGCCATGAGGTCGTGATCTTCGCTCGATGGACTTTAAAACTGGTTGTTCCAAAAGTAAGAACTGACTTGGGAAAGAAAGCTTTTAGGTTCTCAGCACCTGACGTGTGGAACACTCAAGCTGAACTCAGTCTGCAAAATTTAATACCCTTGAATGAATTTGAAGTTTTGGTAAAAACTCTAGGATCGAGTCTAGGTTGTCTGTGTGCAAGTGTATGGTTTGAGTATGTTTTTATGTAATTTTATGTAAGATTTTGTACTGACACCGTTGCTGCTAACTTGGCCAGGTCTCCCTTGCAAAAGAGATCTGTGATCTGAATGGGACAAACCTGGTTAAATAAAAGGTTAAATAAATAAAATCTATGGAGGAAAATATGCCAAAACATTAACAAACCAATGAGCAGAACAAGAAGTGAATTGTATGTATAAAGAATAACAAAAATCGTAATTTATACAAGTTACACGAAGCCAAACATCAGTGCTGAAGGGAACGGCGTTTCCTAAAGCTTACATGTAAATGGAAGCAGTCTTGGACTCCGCCCAGTATAGAGTGCGGTTTGCGGTGAAAACGGCGAGGGGGGCCGACCCTAGATCACCCCCCACCAGCTTCCGAGATTCTAATCCAGCAGCATCCATCCGCCACACCCCGTCCGCACTGCTGAAGGCCAGCAGGGGCTTGTCACCTGGAAATCAGAACGTCCTTAATGACTGAACCACACCCAATCATCTGCCGTTGTCACTATGCAGTCAGCTGATAATTGACTAACGTACTGATTAATTAGATGTTTGATCGAATAGAATATAGTCCTGTATTTTTTAATAATGCAAAAAAAATTTAATATAAATTTTAAAAATTTATGCCTGGACACAGGAACCAAGCCAGCCCATGGCAGGACACACACACACACACACACACACACTTAGTACTCCAGGTCACTTAAGTCGCATGTTTTATGACTCTTGAAGGAAACCAAAACATCCAGCGTGGAGAGAACATGCAAACTTCCCACCCAAAGCAGCCGTGTGCAGCGACAGTGCTACCCACGGAGTAACTGCACCCTCGATGCTCTGTCTGCACAACGTTATTGTAAGCGTCACATAAGAACCACGAGAGTCAGCTGGGTTGAGAACATCAGCAGAACATTTTTACAGTCACAGGAAACAAAACTTGTGAAGTTTTACCATTATACTGTCTGTTCCTTTTCAACATTATCTGGGACACGTTAAAAAAAAAATGAAAATTAAAAAAAAATTCCTGCCACTGTACAGGCATTTGCATAAGCTGCCATTAAACTCACAGGCAGTGCAGCACGTTTGTGAGAAATTTAACAAAAATGAGTGAGGAGAAAGGCCAATAATAGGTCACCAAAAGACAATCATCTTCCCACATGTAGAAATAATATCATAGAGACAATATTGAGTGATTTGTCTGCACTGCTTTGTGTCTATTGGCACAACTCATGAACTCTATTGGTAAATAATTTCCATTTGGCAGCAGCCAATTTTTCCAATTGCTTTGTTTGTGATAAATAATGCAAAATTATGTATCATAATGTGAACCTATTGTGTGTAGTGTTGAACAATACCAGGAAATCAATATTTCAATTATTCATTCATTAATTTCATATCACTTTAATATTATGTCCCATATTAAGCGAGATGAAGGTTAGTCCTGTTTTAGCAGTGATTGTCTTGAGACAGAATACTAAAGTAAAATTAATATGATTTGAGTCATTTAAACCAGAAAGTCAATTCTTCCACACAAGTGAAGCGTTTGCTCTGATCAAGGCGAATGAGGGTCCAAATACAATCTTCCTTCCGGCAAATTTTTAATTTTAAAATTTGATAAAACATTTAAATCAAGTAACTGACAGCTCTGAATAATGAACCTTATTATATGGAAATAAACTGTGATAAACCATTCACTGCTTTAACGTTCTTACTAGGCCAAATTTTTCCAGATGTCGGTTTAAAAAAAAAATTAAAAAAAAAAAAACCACCTTGCAACTAGAGCCCATTGCATGAGGACACAACCTTTGAATTAAGTGTGAAGCGATGCAGCCTCTGACTTTCATGGTTTGGTTCAAATCACACCACCAGCTCGCTGTGTGAAGTTTGCATGTACTCTAGCAACCAAAAATATGCAGCTACATGAACTGGCGATTCCAAACAGCCCATTCTGTGTGATTATATATAAGTGTGCCTGTCTTGTGATGGACTGGCTCCCATACAGGATGTCCCCCATCTTCCTGAGAAAATGGCTGGCTGGAAAAATGTTAGAAAAATAAGCTCTTACCACCAGCCCTGCACTCCCCAGCCTTGGCACCTTTCAAGTAACCTGAATGACAGTCACAGGTGAAGGTCCCATTTTCATTGAAGCACAACTGACCGCACAAGTCAGTGTCCAGACACTCGTCAATTTCTGAGGAAAGAGTTTGATTTTAACATCATGTCTAAAAATCTAGCCAAAAAAAGCATCATGTGTTAGATTTGACAGCTTTTGGTTGCTTTTCATAAATCATATGTTTTGAAGGCAAGACAAAGGTGCTGTTGAGACCAGGCCGCTCACCCTCACACTGGGTGTCCCGCACCAGCCGCATGCCATGGAGACAGTCACACACGAAGCCCAAAGGCTGGTCTATGCACAGATGAGAGCATCCGCCATTGCTATCCAAGCACTCATTTTGATCTAGGGTAGGAGGAGGTTTAGCGTCAGCGAGACGGCACGTGAAACGGCAGCATGCGTGAACAGATTGGAGGGGAAAAGGCATGTCGGATAATTCTGGAGGGCCGAGCGGCATCGCTCACCACAGTCCTGCTCATCACTCCCATCCACGCAGTCCTGGGCGTGGTCACATCTCCAGGAATGGGGAACACACTGCCCATCTGAGCAGCTGAACTCAGGACAGCCGTGGTGGGTTTGCTGGGGTAGCTGGCACAAGCCGTGGCGCTCGTCGGCACCATCGGGGCAGTCGGGACTGCCATCACACACCTGGGCCCTGAGCAAACAGCCTCCCGACCGGGGGCAGAGGAAGTAGTCATCCATACAGCTGTGGCACGATTCCTCGTCACTCCCGTCGCCACAGTCGTCTCTGCCATTGCAGCGCGAATCCAGCGACACACAGTGTCTGCTCTTGCAGGTGAACTCATCCTGCTTGCATTCAGTTTGACCTGCAAAATTCAAAAATTCTGGAGATTAGGCTTGCGACACCCAGATTAATCAGCAGATGTAAAGCAGAATAATGTGTCCCACCCACAGATACCATCTACAGCCGACTCCTGTGGGCTTTTACCAGGAAATACCACAGGGGACCATCTGGGCAGACACCTACCACAGTTCTCCTGTAGCTCGTCTGACCCATCCTGACAGTCAGAGCTCCCGTCACAGAGAGAGCCGTTACCAACGCAGCCGCCATCCGTGCACAGAAAACCTGAGCAGGGCTTTTCCCCTGAAATACATGGCAAAATTCATCTGACAGTCACACTGACGCTCATGCTGGAAACCGTGAATAACTGCCATAATCACACCCCCGTTTTACCGATCCAAGCCTTTAATGCACTTACAGCAGTTGGCTTCATCACTGCCATCCTTGCAATCTTCATCTCCATCACACACCCATATACGAGGGACACATTGACCACTGGAGCACAAGAACTGTGATGATTTGCATGATCCTACTACAGCACCTAGTAAGAAAAAAAAATTACTTTAAAGTAAGCTGCTCCAAGAGAGGAACTTTGAAGATACTCTCACTTATTAAAAGGTGCCCATTGATCTTAAACCCATAGTTCTTCCACCACTCTACAGAATCCATAAATTCAAATGACCAAATTTTCTTAAAATTTGTCACCTAAAAGGAATTGAGCAGAGATTTTACAACACAAAACGTCTGCCGTGAATCAGCCAGGTAGGTTTCTCACAAAACTGAGACGAAAGCGCCATGTATCAGGGGAGAAGAGGTCAGGTCGAGAGCGGCACAAGAACGACAAGCAGCACCATCAGTCACGCCAGTATACAGAAAGCAGAGCCAAACCATATCACATGGAAGGAAGGAATGAATGAAACAAGCTGGATGGCTCCAGACCTGCCAAATATGGAATAATGACGTGGGGCAAAGTGATCTTTAAGTCGCGATGTACAGAGACGGGAGCCCTTTTTCCAGAGTGGCTGCTTTTTGAAAGACGGAGGCCGGTTCCTCAGTGAGCGTTTATGCCGGGAGTCATACCCTAACGTCGCCAGATCCACAGCTACGGGGACCCCCCATGTAGAGTCGTGTCTGATGTGTATAAGCAGCACCCGAGCTGCTTCCCTTGATAAAAGACACATAATGAACGCCACACTTGTTTGTGCTTGAGACAAACGCCCGGCTACGGAGCACATTCGCGGCACGGAGCAGACTGAGAGGGCGGGCTACGGCTGTCAGACGGCCGGCCAATCCCGAGCGGGAGACGGCAGGCGGAGGCAGGTCAGCCCCGCATCTTCATCCAATCACACGTGGGTAAGGGCACTTTCACACGCTTTAGATTCGGTGAAAAAAAAAAGTATTTTCAATTTCTCCTCTATAACTATGCAATCAGCAGAGTTCTGCTGAATGAAAGCATACGTGTTCAAATGCACCTAAGCGGATCGGGTTGCCTTACCCTGTACGAAAAGGCAGTTTCGTATATAGATGAAGAGTCCAAGGGCGACAAGCTGCTTCATGGTCGATTCCTGCGCCTTCTTGCTTGTCAGGCACGTGCGTGACGCAACGCCAGGCGTTTCTTTTTTAACCCCGGCCTGATTATAATCTTTATTCATGATTGGCTCATGTGAACCTCTCAGTGAATAAACTCACCTACCATTGGCTCTTTGCTGACACCATTTAGAGACCGCTATTTTCCAAGCGAGCTTTAGCCTTTTAATATTTTACATGGGTGCATAGGATGACGGTTTGATCTACGTACTTAGTAACACTGATATTCTCAGCAGTGATGTGTCGACTGTACTTTGAATGGAGATTTTAAGTGGCTTCGAATAATTTTAATAAATCAGTGAATATGATGATTGCTAACGCTATTTTACATGTATCTTTGTCAGCTGACAAAAAAAATCATGAATCTTATACAGTCCTGATTCAATAACACAACTAGTAGTCTTGTCATTTACATGTTGTGAGGCAAAGCAGTGGTTTGATGAATAGCACTACAGCCTCACATTTCTACTGTCGGTGCTTTAGATGCCATTTACGGCTTTGTAAGTGTGGATGTTTCCCCAAATATGCATTGGTTTCCCCCCTCCGTCTAAAACAGGGGTGTCAAACTCCAGTCCTGGAGGGCCGGAGCCCTGCTCATTTTTGGGTTTCCCCTCATTTAACACACCTGATTCAGGTCCATGTGTTCATTAATTACCACACAGCTCTTGAGCTGAATCATTTGTGGTGGAACAGGGAAAGAACTAAGCTACACAGGGCTCCGGCCCTGCAGGAACGGAGTTTGACATCTCTGGTCTAAAACCATGTTATATGGGGAAGCAGAACAACGGAACTGGTCACATTGTGTGTCTGTATGTGTCACTTGTGATGGACTGGCATCCTGTCCAGTGTGTCCCCTGTGCTTCTTGGGTAGGTTCAAGGTTCAACATGACCCTGTACTTAATTACTGGTAAGAGAGATCCACAGATATAGCAGGTAATTTTATATAATTTGCACACATTGTGATCAGACGTCATTTTTCCGAACTTTATTAATACTTTTAGATTTTCAAACACCAAAGAGCATGAACTAGTATGCTAGTTAAGAACATTCTTCCATTAAGAACAGAAAAGAAAGGAAATAATGATCATTTTCAATTGTCCTTCAGAGATATGGTTGATCCGTTGACAATGGAAGGTCCTTCCCATGACCAGGGACAACTGGACACTTTTCTTGGACTGCAGGAGCTTGTCTTCATTCACAGGGGAAGAGTGAAGACATGAGAGAGTTTTGTTTATATGAAAGATACTGTGTAGATGAACTGTAGGTAATCTTGCAAAACAATTCTATATACAATATTATATGCTCTCACTATTTGTAGTTACAGCACTGCAGAATCAGTTCAGTTATATTAATTTTACATTCATGTTTTAGTTGAAATGTTTAGTTATATTTACTGCCCATTAATATAACTGTACTGATTAAATATATTTATCATGTTACTAAAGACCCTATTCAGAATACAAATACATCCTGGAAAAAAAAACATTTTAAAGATTACCCCCCAGCTTCAAGTGCTTTTTGAAACGACATCACGATGGTAGGCGGCATGGTTCCTCTTCGCCCATCTCGTTCGCAGTAATAGTTATGGGCAAACTTGTGAGAAGGTCCAACTGGAAGTTTTGGTGCTGGTTGAGTTCTAAAGATAACATGTCGAGAAGCCATGCATAAAAAAACTAAGAAATGGACCCAAAGTGACCGCTTACAATCACTAAAAGCCAAGTACAGAGATATGTTACATTTTCAAGGTCGCGTTGTTCATATGATTAAACAAACAGCTAGGTTACCACAACAGCACTTTAAAATACCGTACCTTTTTGCAATCTCACCATACCGGAGCTGAAGTTTAGACTGAAGATCTTGCTGCAATGACATGAAGGTCACAAAATTCGGTAAAGAGAGCAACACACACTACGCTGTTCAAAACATATTAAAATTAATTAAGGTTTAGCATGCGAGAAACTATTAAGAAAATAATTCCAGCTAGGTCTAGTTACAAAATAATAACTGCCAAATCAACACAAGATATGCAATACTCTCAGTACAAACGTATTCTAGGTAGATGCCTAGCAATGTTTATGTCAAATTTAAAGGGCAATCCGCTTTTGTTATTAATGCAATGCAATACATATCCAGCTTCAAAGTTTTATAATTTCAACTATTAACACATTGGTAACACTGTCAGAAAAAAAATATAATTTACCCCTGATAAATAATTTCGAATCCTCTGAATTATCTTTGTAGCTGTCGCCATTTCTGTACAGATCAAACTGAAATCTCGCGATAATGAGAAACCACGTATAACACGTGATGACTTGCAGGTAGCGAGTTATATATCGCTTAACCCTAATTACATATATATCCTACTGCACATATATGCATAACACCTACAAATAAATAACATAGATACATAATACAAACTGACCCGTAATCCTTAAAAACTATATTACTACGTCATAATAGTTTTGCGGAAGCGGAAATGGGTGTAATGGATGACGGGAATGTTATAAATTACATTTTCTATAGTCTTTTTTATTTATACCTTTTCCAGTTCAGTCTTTCCTAAACATTTCTGCTGTAGAAAACGTCGTGACGTGATATTTTTAAGTAACAGTTCTGAGTATAAATAGGCGTCTCGCCCCACGTGATCCCCTTTCCGCTGGAAAACGCCAAGATGGACGCCAGTCGCGTGCAGCCGATAAAGCTCGCTAGAGTATGTGATTTAAAACAAAATATTGTAATTGATTGCCATGTGTCTGCATAAACGGGGAAAATCCAGTGTTTGTACTATATCCTCGTTTGTCTAAACAGTTTCGCTACTGTATTATATTTTTGTTTCGCAAACAGCACGTGAGAGGTTACTTTACAGTCTCGGCATGTTAGGAACGTGAAGTTAGAAAATGGTGGTGTTACGTTAAATTAACATTTTTGTACGCATACAGTAATTCCTTATGTTGTCCACGCAGTAAAGTTTGTGTGTTTAATTCAGGAAATATTTTTTGATGATCCGTGTAGGCTAGCGTACCACTCTGGCTAGTATTTCGAAAGCGTTAGCTACTTGGAACGTAAACATTTTGCTGTTTATGCAGGTATTTGCTTCTGTCTATATAGCTGCTGTACTTTTAATGCTACCATTAATTATTGCATCTCATTTTAGGTGACGAAGGTTCTTGGAAGAACCGGGTCCCAGGGCCAGTGCACCCAGGTAAGTAGTTTAAATGGCTTCGTGTGTTAGTGGTTTCATACGTCTCAATTTTCATAGCTGTAATGTCTTATTTGCTATTTTAAGGTGCGGGTTGAATTTATGGACGACAGCAACCGATCTATCATCCGTAACGTGAAGGGTCCGGTCCGAGAGGGAGACGTGCTGACCCTGCTGGAGTCGGAGAGAGAGGCCCGGAGGCTGCGTTAGGTGAGCCCCCTTTTCCGCTTGAGTAAGCCAATCCTAGCTGTAAATAAAAACGTAGTGAACTGCTCCCTTTATGTGGTATACAGGAAAGAGTTTACATTTAGCTACCTTCCGAGTGATGCTCCGTTTTAAGATGTGGTGACGTAGATTGGCACGCGATTACTGATTGTCTTGGAAAAGCAGTTTGTCTCTTTGTCAGCTTAACCTCGATAAGCCAGTAATTGTGCTAGTCATGAATTTTTACATAAGATTGACGTCCAGTATTCCTCCGAGCCGGGTAAAGTAATGACAGTGCTTGATGAATTTTCTGTTGATATTTAAGCCAAAAGGTTTCATTCCTTGATATTGATTGTAATTTCCCCCTCCCTGCAGTCCAAAGACAGAAGAAGCGAAACATCAGTCAAAGAGAAGACTTAGTGTCTGGAATGTCTTTTTTGACAATAAAATATTAAACTGTTTGTATTGACAGTGATTATTTAATTTATAACACACCAGGCTGATCCATTGGGGTTGTACATGCTGTAATTAAATCATTTTTCACTAACTACCAGGAAAATTCACATTAAGCACTATTTGGACTTCAAAATAAGGCTTGAACAGCAGCATTATACAGAATTCCATTTTTTTTAGAAATCATTCATTGTGCTGTGCGAAAACAGAACATCTGTTCTAGTACATGGTCACCAGACAGCAGTCATTGACTGACATATGTACTTAAGTTGAATATGTAAGTGTGAGGAGACACAACGTGATTGAAGTTTTTAATAAAAAAATTGAATACAGGACATTAATGTTGCATAATACATTTTTGGTATAAGGCATTTTGGAAAATGTTAGAAGTTAGTGATTCACCACAGCACTGAGCTGTAACTTTGTACAAGGGCAAAACAAAGGCTTTTTTTTTTTTTAAATGATTTTAGAAGTCCGCTGGCTTGAGCCTGGAAACAGAATTCAGTCACTAGTGATTAAAGTATTATTCTTTAAAACAGCAGTTTTATACCAGAAGTATAGTGATACAGTAATTTAGATGTTAGAAAGTAATGCCTGTATAACACACTTTGATATGTGGTTGTCTAAGATATGTAATTCCAGAATATCAATATAAATACATTTCATACAGTGTTTTATATTAAAAAATGCTATTTTCCAGTATAGTCGGCATCGTATTCCAGCAGACCGTGTCCAGTTATCTTCTGCGTTTCTCCCCACAGGCTATATAGCGTCGGTGGGCCATCACACATGGGGCTTCAGTGCTGCCTGCAACATCACACACAAGCTACATTTAAATGATCATTCTTTTTATGAGCCATTTATCCACTTAATATACAAAACTACCACTGGGAAATACATGTTATCAGAAAATCGCAAAATACGTCGATACTTTTAAAGTTGTGACCTCCAGCGCACGTAGCTACCCTCAGACATTTCCATTAGAAATAAGGCGTGTTGCAACCATCAGAAACTTTGCTGACGGATTCAGACCAGCAGGCTTTGTCAGGCACAGAATGAAAACAACGAAAGAAATTTAGTGTTAACTTTGAACACCGGAAAATATTTTACTGACTTTCCGCATATATTAAATATTTGCAACTTTGGCCTACTGAGATGTGCGCCAGGCCGTATGCCTGAAATGTGAATATATCAGAAATTTCTCTCCTGCTAGAGTCAGGCTGAGCAACATCTTTCTAGATAAACCTCTTCCTGGATAAATTTATCTTTCGGACTGACAAATGTGTTATACTTATTTTAATTCAAATTTAGTTTTAAAAATCTAAACGAAAAATACTCACGCTTGCTTGACTCTTGGAGTAGTTCATATGGGCATAGAGCAGCACAGCAATGTCATTGTGGGACGCTTCCAGAGCAATGGAAAGGGCGTTACTGCCATCCTGGCAAAAGGAGGACGAACATGCAGGTTATTCTCCAAGCGGACTGTTTGTTCTTTTTACATCAAGTGGTTCCTGTTATTAAACACAAGTACAGACCAGAGTACAGAACATTCCAAGCCATGAGAAAATTAATTTTCAAACAGCATGTACTAATTTCTATTTTTCCTTTTGAAGTTTTCTAATTCTGTAATTCCTGTCTAGCTGTTCAGTACAATTTTTTTTAATTTAACAATGCTTCACACAATAAACTCATACTGCACTACATCTGTACACATTTACTGAAAAATGCTAATTATATGTCAATATCCCAAAAAAATATTTTTTAAAGTGGGTATGGAGGATATTTTTAAGTTTGTTCATCATTAGTTCCCATTTCCTTAATATTTCAATAAATATAAATTTGATTTAGCTGTAGAAAATTATAGACTCAAATTCAATGTTTAACTTAACTGTTCCACAATACATAGTGCTGACTGACAGTCGTGTGATGTTTGCTAAATTCAGTAAAAATGCTGCAAATGTATTGGTTTCATAACAGAAGTCCATTGACAAGCAATGTTTAACATATCTACACATATTTTCCACACAGACAATTTTTTTTTTGACTGACTCACTCAGTTCTGTTCTTGCCATTTTGCTGTTAATTGTAGTTATAGGCTTCCAAAACGAAACAAAACACCAAACATTTGTGTTTAATGTTACTGCAAAGGTGTTACTATGTCAGACTGCTTGTCATTGGACCTTGAACAGCTTTTTTATTACTATAATTTGGGTTTCTTGCTTCATACGACTGGACCGTTTAAAAAGTACTTGTGTAACACTTCAATGTTCGGTTCATTACTTTTTAAAAAAAAGATTTTCACTAAACTGTATAAATGTTATAAAAAAAGAAAAATCTGATTTTAGCTGACTCCAAGAGAACCAGCTCTGTTGTGGCTGAGTTTTAACTCGGCTGGACTAACTGGTTGTACGTACTAATCCTATTAACGGCTGTACTCGTTTCAGAAGCTCCTACATTCTACAGTAGGGACTCGGTATCTGTGGTATTTACATTGTCCACTATGGAAATATCACAGCCTGGCTGCTCCAGGAGCAAGGAGACGATCTCAGCGCGGCCGTGCTCGCTGGCGCACATGAGCGCTGTGGAGCCTTCCTCGTCCTGGGCGTTGACGTCCGCCCCACACGCCAGCAGCAGCTCTGCCATCTCTCGCCGCCCATGGCTCACGGCCAACATCAGCGCCGTCTGTCCAGCCTGCACACAAGTGACCCATAACATCCAAAAATATCCAAGAGACTCTGACAGAGACCCTTCCCAAGCTCATATCCGCGCTGGACCTCTGCACATGGTAGTACTTAGTATCAAACCCTTGATCTGGACACAAAGACGACAGATCAAAATTGCTACCTGAAACGAAATGCACTACTTGAAGCTCAATCCGCTTAAAACAGAAAAATCTTATTATTGGTTGTCTGTATTGTTTTACATTTTAATTGCTATTGAATACACATTAAAAATTGAGTGCAATAACTAAGATATGCAATAAATGTAGGTCAGGAGCAAAAGTAGGTGGTATATTAAGTCTCTTTAAGATGTCCTGGAATGGAGATAAAGCTTCTCCAGTTAAGTATAGGAAGAGCAAGTCTGTCTGCGCAGACACAGCAGAGCGGGCTCACCTGGCTGGCTTTAGCACTGACCGTCTGCACTGAAGCAGCAGAGCGGGCTCACCTGGCTGGCTTTAGCGCTGACCGTCTGCGCAGACGCAGCAGGGCGGGCTCACCTGGCTGGCTTTAGCGTTGACATCGCCCTGGCCCAGCAGCTTCTTCACTACCCGCATGTCCTCCTCCTCCTTCACCGCTGCCAGCGCCGCTAGCATGATGGCCGTGTACCCAGCCTTGTTCTGCTGGTCCACGTCGCACATTTCTGCACAGAGCACACATTCCCAGAGGTGCAGCAGGCTTGACGTTAAAACATCAACTCATTTTAAATAACTCAATTCACGTGCAAGTCCAGCTGACAGAAAAGCTACTTTTTGCCAAGTTAAAAATTAAGACTAGCAGCAAAGATAGCAAAGCTGTACAAGAAAGAGAGAAATCCTCCAAAATCAAACAGGCAACTCAAAAACAGGAAATAAGAGAGAACTGTATCCTCCTGAGATCCAGGGGAAAAACTGTTTAGTTTAGCTGAATTAAACATGTTTTTTACGTAATTGATGGAATGGAAAAACGCACGCCCCCACACTTAAAATGTCCTTAACAACAGGAACTTGATCACGTGCCGTGTATTAAACGGATCACAAAAACAATTCTGCTACAGCAGGCAAAACAGAATTTCTTTTTAATTTATTTTATTAAATTTGCAATCAAAAATAGGAACAGCTGTAAACCAATTCAGTTGATGTATCTGAATAATAGAACTTAGGAGACGCTATTTGCACACTGTATGGTCACATATCGCTAACGATAAACACCCCGATAGTCGTAGATTTATTTTCCCCTAGCAAAAGCTCCTCAGGGTGTACTAGGCAATCCTTACCATGCCCGACCCCAAAGTGTAGTTTGTTTGACTAGTAGCCAGGTTTTCCAAGAACCATTGTACAACCATTTCTTGCCGTGTCCGGGCACAGGACGATTCAGTTGTACTCGGGCACGATACACATCCGGTGTGATCACAACCACATGCACAGGCATGGCATCAATGATGTGACTGGCCCACACATGCATACATGTAGACTATAATGCACTGGACCCGACAGGAACAGATCGGGTAGGCTGTACGGATCGGGTAGGCTGTACGGATCGGGTAGAGACAAACATTTTCACTTGGTCTATGGCAGAAGTGCAGTGTTTTATAACACAATATAATTTGGGCTGATGACAGTATCCAGGAACAACTGGATGCAAAAACAAAAAATTCGTAGATATTTGGTAAAATATGGGAGTACCTTTATACATGCGGTAAGATTAAAGGAAAATCGCTGCCTTACATACTCGCTACATCTGAGGGCCACATGTCTCATCGCACCTAAATTGACGACTAATGAGCCACAAAATAAGGACATCAATCAAACTCCATTATGCTGTGATAGCGCTTTTCTTTGGCTGTATTTCAAATGTCAACTCACCCACTATAAAGGCTGTTATTTAGTAAATCAGTTTTTTACTGCTGATGGAATTCTCACCTGAGAATTGCATTAACTAATCATCACGAGGCACATCAAAATGTAGCATGCAGCAGCTGTACCCTGTATCTGTTGACTTAGACCATCTTGCATTGCGGCCCGTTACATGAGTGTCGGAGAGACACTTATTTATCCTTCAAATGGTGTACATTCATTCATTTATTAACCTTTATTTTACCAGGCAAAGCATTAAGAAGTTTCTTACTTACGACAGCCTAAGTGCCAGAAAAACAAAATGAAAACGTGCATCAGAATTACGTGCTAATTTCTGCTAGCATGTCTGTGAGAATCGCCGTGTTGTGTTAGCATCGAACAATATCAGAATTAGCATTATCTTGCGAAAATTTGTGAATCCATTCCATTAATCCTTTCTATATTACTTTAAGTAGG